CATGCTCCAATATACCTGTTGCTTTTGAATGGACTTGGTCTCTCAGTTTTCCTTGACAGGTGAGGCTGTCCTGAGCTCAGACCCTAACAAAGCTAAAAGCATCATTAAGGATAAAACACCACTGACCAAGCAAGTGGAAACGAACATAAACAAATGGGACTACATTAAACTAAGAAGTTTATGCACCTCAAAAGAAACAGTGACCAAAATACAGAGAGAGTTCATGAAATGGGAAAGAATATTTACCCAATATCCATCTGACAAGGGATTAATATCCAGGATATACAAGACACTAGTAGAATTGTAAAAGAAAAACCTCCAACCCCATCAAAAAATGGGGAGAAGAAATGAACAGAAGCTTCCTCAAAAAAGAAGTACAAATGACCAAAGGCACCTGAAAAAATGCTCTACATCGCTAATCATTAGGGAGATGCAAATCAAAACAACAATGAGTTATCTCACACTACAGAGACTAGCACACATTCAAAAGAACAAAAGCAACCAGTGCTGGCATGAATGTGGGAAGAAAGGGACATTCTTTCACTGTTTGTGGGAATACCTACTGATCCAACATTTTTGGAAAAAAATAGGGACATTCCTTCAAAAACTTGAAATTGAACTTCCATATGACTACTCAATACCATTTCTGAAATATATCCTAAGGGTGCAAAAAAAGCACAGTAGAAATGACATCTGCAACTGTATGCTCATTGCAGCATTGTTCACAATAGTCAGAATCTGAAAAAAACCTGAGTGCCAGAGAACAGACAACTGGTTAAAGAAACTTGGTACATCTACATAATGGAATACGATGCAGCTGTTAAGAGAGATGGAGTTATGAAGGTAAAGGTAAAGGTAAAGGCCCTCCCGTTGATCGTCGATTTGCTCGAGCAGGCCCAGTAACGTCTCCATTGGAGACTTTTGTTGTTACTGTGTCTGGCATATCGAATACTCTCGGTAGCTTGCCGGGCTCTCCCAGAGGGGTGGAGGAATCGAACTCTGGTCGGCCATGTTGGCTGCGTGCAAGGCAGACGCCCTACCCGCTGTGCTATCGCTCCAGCCCTATATACTGGTACTGGAGTTATGAAATGTGCTTATAAGTGGAAGGTCATGGAGAGTATCATGCTAAATGAAATGAGTTAGAAATAGAGGAACAGATACAGAATTACTGCACTATTTTTTGAATATAACATGAGACTGACACCCAAGGACAGTATACTCAAGGACCAGGAATACTGCTGCATAGTTGGAAGCCTGACTCATGAGCTGGGGGAGAAGGCAGCTGGAATACAGAAGGAATCACTAAGACAATGATGGTTGGAGGACTCTTTTGGGATGGGAGATCTGTGCTGAAAGTAGATAAAGAACCAAACATGACAGCCTCTCAGTATCTATACTGCAAACCATAATGCCCAAAAGTAGAGAGAGAGAGAGTATGGGGGAAATTGTCTACAATAGAGGCAGGGAGAGGGTTGGAAAGGGGTGAGGGGTATACTGGGGATATTGGTGGCGGAGAATGTGCATTGGTGGAAGGAATGAGTGTTCAAGCATTGTATGACTGAAACTCAAACATAAAAGTTTTGTAACTGTATCTCACGGTAATTACAAAAATCTGAAAAAAAAAAAAGAATCTGGGTTGGTTTTGATTTGGAAACTTCTCAGGACACTAGTCCTTCAAAGTGTTAAAGTCTTTGATACTGGAGCAATAGAACAGAGGGTAATGTGTCTGCCTTGCAAGCAGCCAACCCGGGTTAGATCTCCAACATCCCATATAGTTCCCCTGAGCACTGCCAGTAGTGATTTCTGAGTGCAGAGCCAGGAGCAATCCCTGAGCAACTCCAGGTGTGACCTCAGCACAAAACAAAACAAAAAAGTGCTAAAGTTCGTAGCATGGTCTGTTTCACATTCTCTAGGTGCTGCTTTGTAGAGGACATAATCAGTACCAGCAGTTCCACAAATAAGGTTATCAGATAAAACTCAGAATGAATTTACTGCTTATTTATTTACTGTATTATAGAGCCATCTCATGCAGTATCTGCATACTACTCCTGGCTCAGGACCACACTACTACAGAGTACCCTTGAAGGAGTGGTAGGGATAACACATGGGGTTCCGGAATGCAAAACATTGCTCTAGCTTTGTCCCTGTCCCAAGTCCAGCCTCACTTTAATTAACCTTAGATATGGAATGAAAAATTCACCATTATAAATATGGGGCTGATACTGTATGAGAAATCTATACTAAGATTATTATTTACAGCTCTATCTTTTAAATTATGCTGTGAAAACTGAAAACTTCTCAGAGCAGAACTTCATTAGGATCTAATCCTGAACTGACATATCAAAAACGTTTCCTAATTCACAAGACAGAAAAATGGAGATTATGTCCAATAAACATGTTTCACACCATTCATGCAAGTCCTGAAATGCTTGGACTACATCCTCAAATTGGTCTCAATTCCTTAGTATGAAGACCATGATTTGGACTCATTCTATTTGTACTCATAGTATAAGGGGAAAAAAACCTGCAACAGTTAACGAGACTATTTAAAAGAAAAAAAATTATTATCCATAAATCTTGGGGGAAAAAAAACAATCTAAAGTTGACTTAAAATTGAGATATTGGTTTTCAAACCATATGTTGTTTTCAAGTGTCAGACTCTAGAGTTTAAAAAAAAAATTAAAGTTTCAGCATTTAATTAAAATCACAAAAGAATTTCCTCAAGCACTACATATTTGAGTTCTAACTGTAAAGGTTATACTTCCCCGCAAGCAGAACCTCAGTAATGACTGCCCACGACATATTTTTCTGAAGTTAATTAAAGTTTTCTTAATTTATTTATTTATTTTTTTGCCAAGATGATTTTAAGTAAAAATGGGAATTAAGAGGAGGACTGAAGTATCAAAACTAGAAAACTTAATAGTTTTATCAAGGCCAAACTCCAAAACTATAAATTTTCTCACTTCGGTGCCCAAAAGGATGGGGCTTCTGGCCTAAAACAGGGCTGAGTCTAGGAAATCTGGTCCATTCTTTTTTTTTTCTCTCTTTGGGTCACACTTGGTGATGCACAGAGGTTACTCCTGGCTCATGCACTCAGGAATTACTCCTGGAGGTGCTCTGGGACCATATGGGATGCTGGGAATTGAATCCAGGTCAGCTGGGTACAAGGCAAATGCCCTACCCCTACTGCTATACTATCACTACAGCCCAAATCTGGTCCATTCTTAATTATGGTTAAAGTCAAAGGAAGGGTGAGCTTATTATAAGATAATGGAATGGGAGCTGAGAAGGTTTCTCAAGATGCACTATCATCACAGAATCTCTCCTTCACCCTGGGGCAGAAAACGGCTTACTTCTTTTAAGAGGATGGAATCTGGAAAGCTTCAGTCACCTTCTGGCAACAATGCATTTAAAACCTGGATGGGAATCCTGAGGAATGGAAAGGTCAGAGGCCAAGGTCTTAACTGGCCTCAGGGCAAAATTTATCAAGATCATTTTTGTTTTAACTCTTCTAGTGCACTACAACAGGAAAAGGTGAATATGAGTAATTGTTTAAAAAAATTTGTAAATCTACAACTGTACCGCATGGTGTTTCACTAACAAAAATTTTTTAAAAAATGAAATAATGGAGAATGGGTACTGGTGGAGGGATGGGTACTGGATCATTGTATAACTGAAACCCAAGCACAAAAATTTGTAAGTCTACAACTGTACCTCATGGTGTTTCAATAATAAAAATTAAAAAAAAAAAAAGTGAGTTCCCAGGCTTTGCGAGAAGGGTTGTTTCCCAAAGTTACTGAGGAAAAGTAGTACTGTATCACTGTCCTCCCATTGTTCATCCATTTGCTCGAGCAGGCCCAGTAATACCTCCATTGTGAGACTTGTTATTACTGTGTTTGGCATATCGAATATGCCGCCAGGCTTTGCTGTGCGGGCAAGATATTCTCGGTAGCTTGCTGGGCTCTCCCCGAGAGAGGCAGAGGAATCGAGCCCGGGTCAGCCGTGTGCAAGGCAAACACCCTACCCACTGTGCTATCATTCCAGCCCTGAGGAAAAGTAGTACTAACAAATGGCAGACGTTTTCCCCTCTCAGCAATCCAACACCTCACCATTTTCAGCTATAATGTTCATATGTGTGTATTCAAACACATTATATGTAATTTATAGGGCTTCGGCAGCTAAAGACCTCCAGGACCAGCCACCACCATGCTGAGACCACTCTCCGCACACATGAAGGTACTGGCAGAGGGACAAAGTCACGCGGGTTCCGGGGCCGAGATCTCCAAGCCTACTCGGATTTGGGCCGAGCATCCTCCACCCAGATCCTCCAAATTCCAGTAGGCGGGGGTCACACCCACCAACAGGCCCCCTGGCGCCGTGTAATCCCATCAGCGGCCAAGACTCAGAGACTATAAAAACCAGCTCCCGGAACCGCCATCCTATTATGACATCTTATTATCTCATTCCTACTTTGGACAAACTGGCAGGCTACCAAATGTAGCCTGCCCACAGGGCAGAGTCTGGCAAACTCCCCTTGGCGTACCCAATATGCCAAATACCAGTAACAATGATGGGTCTCATTCTCCTAAAGAGCCTTGAATATAATCTCAGGGCTAGGATGAAGGAGACGTTACTGGGGCCTGCTCGAGGCAATTGACGAATAACAGGATGATTTGTGATTTGTGATAGGAGTATAAGGAATTTGAGTGGAAACAGAAATAAAACAGTAATGTATTTTCTTTAGAAGCAAATATGTTGCTCCATCACCTTTGAAATCATGAAAATAAACTAAGAAACTTAAGAAGCAAAACAATACTGAAACACAGGTTTGTAGAAGAAGGTTTTAAAAAAAGGCATTTCCACTTACAAACATCAAAAAAAGGTACTAATTTTAAATTCTCTTTGAAGAGAAACAAATTTGCTTTTCAAATATTGAAAACGGATCATGCATGCAAGATGATTACTCAGTAATCCAATGCCCCCACTCAACAATCACTTACTTTGTAAATGGTAGGTAAGATCTGTTTCATTTTCAGTCTGTGAAAGACAAAGACATCATAAACGGCTGAAACTGCAAGAACAGTCACTCCTTGTTCCTTCCACAACATGCTGCATCCTGCACACAGTCCAGTCCCCAGGAACCAGCCCCAAGTTCTGGCTGAGTAGCCTCTTGTGGAACAGTGTTTAATGTAACAGAGCAAGGAGAGGAGAAAGAAGAGACTAGCCCCAACATCAGCGCGTCCCACGATTCCTGCAACTGCTTCAGTATGAATCGGGTGAGAAGCAAACATCAAGCCGGCCATGAAGGTCCAGTATCCATCTCCCAGGAGCATCTTGGAGAAGCTCGTGAAGAGACCAGTCACGGCCGCATGCAACAGGACATTGACAAGATGGTAGCTCCAGGGATTCAGCCCTCCAATGGCATGGTTCAGGCGAAAAGAGAGGGTGCAGAAAGGTCGGTAGGATTTGTGGCTGCCGCTGTGGGTTAGGAGAGTCCCCCAAAAGTCATTGTAGAAAATGTGCATCCATGGAGTTTCTGGGAGAAGGTCCTGATTAGTCTTGATAGCACGGCTGAAAAACAAAATGTCAAAAGATCAAATATGTGACAATGCTAGGATAATGACTTCCTCAGAAGCTTGATCATAGGGCTCTATGGTGGGATTTCAGGCATGCATGAGATATTCAAATGAATCTTAAAGTAGAATTTTCATGCTAATCCAAATATTTCCCCTTTCTCTCTCTCTTTCCTTCTTCTGAGCTCTCATAGGACTTTCTGCCATGTATGGCTTTCGTGATGGTACTTAGTTCTTCTGCTTCTGAGAAATAATAGTTCCAGGTTTGCACACTTGGAAATACCAGGAATTTTCAGAGCACTTGCTGTCTAGCAACTACTGAACTGATCTCCTGTTTAAATTTTAAAATAACTGGTGACGAGGTAGACAATGCTATTTTCATGCTAAAGATTAATTAATAATGATTCCTCAGTCACACCCAATGGAAACAGTAGGGCGGTGTTTTCTATACCACGCTCTTTCAACTATGAAGGAAACCCAACATGTCATGTGATCCACATGATACTGGGGTTATGTCAGAAGTTACACAGAGTTTATAAAAATGTTAATGGTCATATTTATTTCAATGTGCTTTTGAAAGTATATTAAATTATGACAACAGGGCAAGATTTCATAAATACCTTTTCATAATGAAGCTGTTATTTTTTTTAACTGGGCTGGAGTGAGGTGGGTTAGGTAGAGAGGGTAAGGTACTTGCTTTGCATGTGGCAAACCCCAGTTCAATGTGCTGCACCTCATATGGATCCCTGAGCACTGTCAGGAACGACCTCTGAGAACTAAAACCAGGAGTAAACCCTGATTTCCACCATGTAAAACCCCAAAACAACCCCAAAATGTTTAATTCGCCATAAAAATAGTATTGAGAAATTAATCATACTGATGTAGGTAAACACAGTACATACATAGAAGACTGATGCAAATGACTCGATGTGAAGGATCCCTTTAGCTATAACATTATACCTTTAAGGTATAGTAACATACTGAGTCCTCTATAATCCTAGAGCACCTGTCCTGGTACTCATAAAACTTGAAAGAAGCACATGGTGGTTTTAAAGAAGTAGGGATAAGCACGACTTAAGCAAACAAATCATCTGTTTATCATCTGATGCCAGGGTTTCTTAGAGTAGTATAAGTATTTACATAACTAAAGCACATACAATTTATGACCTTCAGACTTTTAGTACTAACCCTTGTGACATTCCTACATTCAACATATTCAACATGATCAAAGGCATTTCCATAGGAATATTACAAAAACTCAAATTTAAAATGCCGTACATTGAGGAAATCAAGATTCCTGCCTCCCTAGTCTGTAATCTACTGTCTCAAAAACAAGAAAATGCAACAGAGATTCGAACAGATTAAGAAACCCATCCAACATAACATAAGTATCAGTATTGGGATTAAATGACCAGGCAATACTGGTCATCAACTTCCGCTCTAAATTGCTTCCCAATTAACCTGTCCTAACTTTCATTTCTGTAATGATATGGTTTTACCACAAAATCATTTAACACTTGTAACTGTTCATTTACCTTTAATGCAGAAAACACTGCTTAGCAGATGCATGAATGTTCTGGAGACCAAATGTAAGTCACACCTGAGGCACTGTTAGCTGCTATTGTTTTTCCATAAAGACAGGCCCATATTTACAAGTCTATTTGACCTACAAGTTCTGCAAGTAAGTGCATTTGGGGGTAAGAATTTAAACAGACTAATGAGCACTCTGAGCCCCAGACCAGAAAAGGAAAGCACAAAATAAAGAAAACTACATGTCAGCATTTCTGAAGAATAAATGCAAACAACACATTTAGAGAATCAGTCATTCTGAGAAGGGTGGATCCAAAATGTTCCCTAAAGGAAAAGTCCTTTAAATACAACTATGGGATCTACATAGAAATCGGACAGAAACTGTACTGAACAAAGCATTTGGAGAGGAGACAGGCTAAGAAAATTAACTGGAAAAAATATCACCAACGCAGGGAAACATAACTCTGAGAAACCAGAATTACAACAGTTTCAGAGCAAAGGTATGCTTCCCTTAAGAGTGAAGGAGGAAGCAGCAGGGACTGAAAAAGAAAAAGAACCAGCAAGCTTGCACCAGACATAAAATGCTCATCTACTGCAGGAGGGTCCTGAAGGCAATGTTTTATAGTACATGAGTGCCATAGGCATTCACAGAGCTGAAAACAAAATTGAGTCTTGTTGAGCCCCTTAAAAGACTCAACACAGAGGGCTGAGACTCCTTGAGATGTGGCAGCAACTATTCCAGAGGGGAGCTCCTCCCATCACAGTTGAGCCCCACTCCACCCAGCCAATTCAGGCCAAGGTGCTGAGCACTAACTAAGGTGTTTTGTTTTGTTTTTGGTTATGGAAAATTGGTTATGGAAATTTGGTTATGGAAATTTGGTTTTCTACTTGAACTTATTAAGTCATAAGGAGTCTTGGCACTTGGCAAACCCAACAAAGGTGGTTACACCTGGTACTAGCCGGAGGTAGCTATTCCCTAGGTAAGCCCAACCCAGCAGGGGCTGACCCTCTGCACTAACCCCTAAAGGCTCAAAACTTTGGCTATGCCCTGAAACAGAGGAAGCCCCATCCCCCAGATCTGAACTGTCTTACAACTCACAGGTTGCAGCTGCAGAATTTTGATCCTTAAACTGAAGACGGAGCACAGAGTAAGAGCAAAGGCTCCTCTATAAAAATGTTACTAAAAACATTAGCGCTTATAAGAATATGGAACAAAATCCAATGTTTCTTAATGGGGATTGAAAATTATTAAAATGGAATTCTTCGTGGCAAGAGAAATAGTACAGTGAGTGGGTAGGACACAAGACTGACACAAAGTTGACCCAGATTTGATCCTTGGCAATACCTATGGTTCCCTGAGCACTGAAGTGAGTGATCCCTGACAGTAGTTAGGAGTAAACCCTGAACACTTCTGGGTGAGGCACCAAAACAAAAAAAAAACACAGCATTTTTACTTAAAGCAATCTAAAGTTTCTACAGAATTTTTATCATAAAACCAATGGCATTTTGCAAGAAATGTTATCATTCTAAAATATGCTATTAATCACAACAGACTTCAATACCCAAAGTAATTTGTGAGAAAATAAATAAAAAGAGATCACTGAGAAAATAAAAAAAGGCTCACTCCCTAACTTCAAACTACATAAAAAAAGCAAAAATAATTATAACAGGATGGTATCAGAACAAAAGTAGGCACACAAATCAATGGAAGAAAACAAAGTCTAGAAATAAGTCTACACATTTATGTACATGTAATCTATGATAAAGGAGCAAGATAAATAACTGAGAAAGAAAAATCTCTTAATACAGCAGTTCAGAAAACTGGGGAGGATGGGTGGAAGGAAGGGAGATGGAGGAATGAAGGAGGAAAGAAGGGAGGGAAGGAGTGAGGGAGAAAGAGATCACAAATACCATATACAAAAAATTCAAAAAAATATTTGGCTATTAAGACCCACAATTTCTCTATATAAAATACTTCAAGGGAGGGATGCTGGGATCATAGGTGGTGGAGAATGGGTACTAGTGGAGGGATGGGTACTCAATCATTGTATAACTGAAACCCAAGCACAAAAATTTGTAAGTCTACACTGTACATCATGGTATTTCACTAATAAAAATTTTAAAATATAAAATAAAATACTTCAAGTACAGAGAATGTACCCTAGGACCTCAACAGAGAAGTATTTGTAGATTCAACTACCATGAGGGGAAAATGCAAAAATTAATAGATGGGGCATCAAATTAAAAAGCTGTACACAGCAAAAGAAATGATCACAAAAATAAAAGGTAATCCCACAATTATGGAAAGAAATTTGCATATCAAACATCTAAGAAGGGAATAATATCCAAATACAAAGAAGCAAACACACAACTCAACAACAACAATAAAAAGTAATCCACCCAATCAAAATGGGCAAAAATAATGAACAGACATTTCTCCAAAGATGAAAAAACATATGGCCCATAGATGAAAAAAATCCTCAGCATCACTTATAATTAAATAGATGCTAATCAAAACCTTAACAAGATATCACCTCACACCAGTGAAAATGGCCTATATCCAAAAGACTGGAAAGAACAAATTTTGGAGAGGGTGTGGAAAAAAAGGAACTCTGATATACTTTCTTTATGGATATTGTTACAGTTTCTATGAAGAACAATGTGGAATACCTTTAAAATACTGAAACTAAATTCCACATGACTCGGAAGTATTTTCCAAAGTCACCGTGACTGTCCTCCCCTTTTTCATCAATTTGCTCCAGTGAGCCAAGTAAGGTATCCATTGTGACAATTGTTACAAAACACTAATTTAAAAGACTATTTGCATCCCTCCATTCACAGCAAGAGAGGAATGAGAATGACCTTTGCTGAGCTGTTCTGCCTCAATGTTTCAGCGGCACCTAGGAAGGGATCTATGGCTGACAAGGGCAGTGCAATGCAGTGGATTCAACTGACTGAAGCCCAGGCCATGATCCCATAGAAAAACAATATTCCCAGCATTACCTCGGCATCATCACAATAAATCAACCTAAATGTTCCTCTACAAGTCACTGAATTTTTTTTAAAGGAGAAGAAAAAAAAATGGCCATGGGATACATACTCGATGGGATACTATTTTGTCAGCAAAAAGATTAAAGTATACCTTTTGAGAAACAAAATGGGTGGATTTGTTGATGTGACTCCACCGTAGGAACTAAATGAGGGAGTAAGAAATAATAACTGAATAGCTACATTCATATGTGGAGTATAAAACATTAAAGAATGGACAGGCAAAATACAATAAAACCAGTGCCTAGAAGAATTGTAAATGATGGGAGAGGGCTAGAGCGATAGCACAGCGGGTAGGACATTTGCTTTGCACGAGGCCGACCCAGGTTCGATTCCTCCACCCCTCTCAGAGAGCCTGGCAAGCTACCGAGAGTATCTTGCTGGCACGGCAAAGCCTGGCAAGCTACCCATGACAAATTC